TTATTTTATATACATATTCATATTTTAACATCTACTTAGGAACATTTTATATAAATATTTAAGAACTACATTTAGTGTTTCAAATAATCGGTCATCACGTTTTCGCTTCGAAATTGAAGAGTTTTATCTGGCGCCATTTTGTAAAAAATACCAGTTTCGTCAGCATTCAAAATGTCGTGAGCAGGGTACTTTTCTGCTAGTTTTGGCCACGTCTTCTCCAGCCAATCGTTAGTGACGTTTCTGTCGACGTCACGGGCTTCGCCACTTAACTGTCCACAATTTGTACCATCCAACCATCCCTCCGAAGCCTTGAAATCGATAATGCCAAGCTGCTCAGCAAACTTTTCCGTTTTTAGTTTTGCGATAGGTCCAGAGAGTGGAAGATTTGGATCGGGCAATGTTGCAGTAGTTCCAACAGCAACGTCTTCAAAATGTACCGCTCTCTGGACCTATCGTAAAACTAAAAGCAGAAGCGTTTGCTGAACAGCTTGGCATTCAAACAGTTCAAACAGAGACATGGTATAAATTATGGACAGATAAGTGGCGAAGCCCGTGATGGTGATAGATCAGGATTTGCCTACAACAGCAGACTTGACAGAGGAAGCCATATTACAATAGGCAATAAAAGATGAGGAAGAGCACCAAGAGGAAGAAGAAGATGAAGAAGTTGATCTGTTTAATCTTGGCGATATTTTTAAAGTAAATTTTTGTAAGTTTTGTTTGGACCATTCCACCAATTCAAAACTTTTATTCTGGCATATAGGAAAGTAGGTGAAAAAAAATAGCTTTTCTGCTAATCAATCCATTAAAACATTTCAGAGGTGTCACTAAATGTGAGATTGTTAAAGACTGATGAATGACATAGTTTAAAAAGCAGATATTTACATTATCTGCATTAATCTTATCTACACACAAAACAAATCATATTGTCCGTCCAAACAATGAAGGCAATTTAATTTTGAATGTTTGCTGTTAATCCAAAATTGTGATTTTTCGCAACAATTTACACGTTGCCCCGAGAAGGTTGAAATATTTATGGAAGATGGAGGTCAATGAGGCCTATCCGCAGATATCATAAAGTCCCCCTCATCCCCTCCATTTATGTGTGGTTAAGCTTTTCTTAAAAATTTGCAGCTTCCCACATAAACTGTTCCCGATGACAAACGGCACCACTTCGGCGAGACTTTTTGGTATCGTCGGATAGAGGAAGGACCAAGGTATACAACGTATAAATTCAAAATTCTCAAAATCTCTCAAAAGTGGGTAAATTTCTGCGTAGGGTGTTTTTACCAATATTTTGCACCCCGTGCGGGGTCGGGGGGGGGCTATGAAACTTATAATTAAACAACCGACTAATTTTTTTTAATACCTCCCCAACCCCCTATCTCAGTTCCAAGTTTCAGCCGGATCGTTTAACATTAAGCTCGATCTAAATTTTTCGTATGTGCTTGGTCGCGACTTTCCCCAAAAATTTAAGTTTTTAATTTTTTGAAATACCTACGTTGCTCCGAGAAGGTTGAAATTTGTACAGAAGATGAAAGTCGATAAGTTCCATCCGTAGATACTGTAAAGTACCCCATCCCCCCCAACCCCCTCCATTTAATTGTTAATTGTTAAAAATGTTCAGCCTTCCACATAAAACATTCCCGACGGCAAACGGTACCACTTGGGCCAGACTTTTTGGTATTGTATATAGATTTCAATTTCTCACAGTTTAAAATAAGCGAGATATAAATCATAAATTACTGACAATCGATTTTCGAGCTGGTATTTCGGCCCAAAATGGGGCTTCGAAGTAATATCCCAAAAGCTTGCAAAATTTTACATAAAGGTGTTTTCTGACGATGAGAAATTCGAATCAGACGCTTATTTTTTGAAAATATCGACATTTAATGATGATTTATGATTTTATTTTTTGCGTAAAAAAATTGTTTGGGTTTACGCCAATGGCGGCAGGTTTTTCGAAACGCCCGGTATATGTACGGACAGATATCGTTACGTAAACGGGGTTCGTCCCAAATTCGAGCTCGCTGATCGTCAAAATACCGCACTAGGATTAAGCATCTCGTTTTTATCCGATTGACAATAAATTATGACAATAAACACGCCACTGTCGTGGAAAACGTTATAATTCTTAATCTCCGCGCATGAACCTTTATTTGATTTGCCGGAGAAAATACCGAGCCGTGAGAAACGCCGATGTCGATTCGTTATATGGACGTATCGCTTATACAGGCTGTCCAAATAGTCCGAAGTTATAGATGATACTAAAAGAAACAATTGAAAATTATTTTTTATTTTTAAAAATTACAAGTTCGCCAATATGAAAAAAAATTCGGGAAAAATACCCCCATGTTCTTTGGCTTAAAAATATGTTAAATTGAGGCATTTACTTAAAGTTTTGTCACATTACTAATCCATTTAAAAAAATTAGCGTCCCCCACGTATTTATGAATCTCCCCGTATAGTTGAAAATAATCTCGAACTATTGCGTCTATAACTTTCGTATTTAACATTTTTTTCTAAAAGAAATAACAAATGAGATGCTACACGCTATATATGGGGGCCCCAGTAGCTAACCTTGGGGCGCACATCTGTCCTCCCTGGTGAGTATCAATCGACCTCTCCCCCCCACCGACTTTTAAATTTTAAAACACATTAGCTCCCAAAGTATTTAAATAACGCCAGTTTACCTACGAGGGGAGGTGGTCTCACGTATTTGATTGATGAGGCAATTAAAATCAGCTTAGGACGTCGGAAACGCGCCCGCGTATACAGGGTGTCCCGAAATTAAACGTCAATATTTTAACCACGTATTCCGTGATCCAAAGTAAGGATAGAAGTTCGTATAAACTAGAGTCCAAAACGTCTTAGTTTTTAACATACAGGGCGTTAAATTTGAAGAGGTGATTTTTTGTAAATATTTTCGAAACACGTAAATATTTTGAAATAAAATTTGGTACAGCCACTAAACTTTTTATTCTCTATATTACGAACTAAAACTTAGTAATGGATTGTCAATTATTCGACACCCCACATTATTAATTCTTTAGATAATGGTCTTGCGACTGCACTTATACCTTTAGCTTACTCTGAAGCCTTTGATCGGCTTGACCATAAACTTATGTGCGCTTCAATGATGTTTCGAGTCAATTTTTCGAAAACTACTTAGCTAACAGATGTCAGAGAGTTGCCCTTGACAATGTAAGTTCTGAATTTCTCCCTGTCTCGTCAGGTGTACCGCAAGGTTCCGTCCTTGGACCTATATTATTCTTAATTTATATATCTGATATTTTTACATAAAGAATTTTCGTTATAAAGAGTTATAAGCACTTGAAAAATAATAATACACATATGTGTTCTGTTATATTTAATTATTTTATATACATATTACTACTTAGGAACATTTTTGTATAAATATTTAAGAACTACAGTTAATGTTATAAATAATCGGTCATTTTCTTTTGAATTTTTTTAGTATGCCAATACGCATCTCGTACTTTGGCTTGCATTTTCACCATTTCTTCGAGAGGGACACCTTCCCCGTGATACATAAAAAAGTTCTCTAGCAGCTTAACTGAATATAGGGCTTGTTGAATGATTGGTGGTGGTCCCAGATCAACTTCTTCATCTTCTTCTTCCTTTTGGTGCTCTCCCTCACCCTTTCTTGCTTGTTGTAATATGGCTTCCTCTGTCAATTCCGTTGTTGTAGGCAAAAATGTGGTTTAAAAAAGCAATATAACGGAGTGTCCAAAATCTCAAAAATCAGGTGTCTACAGGTTGAAAGGAAGATTTTGTAATAAAATTTATATCGGACAAACAGGTAGATCCCTCAACGAACATAAAAGAGCGTTTAAAAACAATAGTCTAGATTCTAATAATGCTACACACTTAAACACAGGAAAACGCATTTTTGACGACAATTTTGACATTTTACATACAACCACAAAAAGTAGAAAACTAAATTTATTGGAAGCCATGGAGATTAACAAACGATCAATTAGTTTTAAATACCTCACCATTATTAATTTTTCGGTATATATATATATATAGCATGTAGTTTGTAAATATTATTTTTGATAAAGATACGGTGTTGTCGAAACAGTTGTCATGTGAATATATATAATTTGGTGAAAATCTGAACTTATAGTTCTTATTTATTTCGAGTTCTTTCACACATTGCATTCCTGACGAGACGCGAACGATGAAAAACTGGGGCATCGATGATTTAGTCTGCGTTACCTCTCACCGTCACGATCCGACTTGCGCTGCGTACAAATACCCGAGGCACGAGGCACGCGTCCCGTGAGTCGTCGGCGAAATCCGCCGCGCTTCGGTCGATGATTGTCGCGGACGCCATACTCGCGCGCCCCCACCCCGACCCCGATTCGTCCGCCGATCGGCCGGAGGCGTGGCCGCTTTCCCCCCCTCCGCCTCAGACCGGTTTGATTGACACCGCCGCCAACTCTATTCTCCGTTTTATTTCGATATGTTGCCGAAATTGATTTCCGCCGCGCGGGGAGACAACGGAAAATTGATTTGAAAACGCGGCTCTCTCTCTTTTTCTCGGTTTCGAATGTTATCGTTTTGTCGGTTTCCTATGCGCTGCCGTCCGTGCGATTTTCGAACAACGCCGACCGAACAAAACGCCCCGTATACGCGCCGGGCGGGGTGGGGAGAGCGTAAACAATACAACCAGACGCGGCGTTAATCCTCTCCCTGCCGCCGACCCCGCGCCCCGCGTAATACTCATGACTTTGCGCCTTGCCGGCTCCTCCTACCGTCCGAATACGGTGGTAGATGGCGCGCGCGCGCGGGTCACGCGGGGCGTTGCCCCGACGACGGGTAACGCTCGTTCTCTGTCTGACGCGCGCGAAACGATAGCGAGGGAGCCGCGGGCGCGATCTCGCGCGTAGCCAAACGTTCTCTCCGGCATCGCCGGCTATGATATATAGAGTGACGCGACTTATAGTTAAATCGTGCTGGGAAGTGGCCTAGATTAGAGGGACTTTGCGGGTATCAAATCGCGTAAACCGGTTATCGTCCCCAAAGCGTTTAAGACTTTTTAATACTTTCGCGGGATTTCGCGCGTAGCCCGACGGATTCCCGTCGTAGTAGCGTCGCCGGTGATTTGTAACGCGGACTGAGTGTCGGGACGGTGTTTTTTTTTTCTACGCGGTGTGGCGGTGCGTCACCTGGTGCGGCCTACGGCTACGACGACGAAGGCGCACGGAAGCCAGGTTAGTGCCCGGATACGAAATTCTGCCGACTTTAATTTGAACGCTTTGTGATATTTTATGCGACGATTCCCGTAGATATGTATATTTATTGAAAAAGTTGAACAAAATAAACAATTCTCAAAAATGTTAAAAAAAAGTTAGACTTGTATTAATTCTTATGTTTTTCCATATATAATGTGCAAATTATCTGTTTCACACTATGCTCAGTGCATGTAATTTTTTTGCCTGGACTTGCGATCTTTCACAAATAACATCGTCCAGAAACAGGCAGCTGTTGGGAATTCTTGGTTCTGTTTTAAATCTTCTTAAAGCATTTTCCCTAATCAATGACTCTCCTAAGTCCAAAATAAATTTTCATTTTGATTTTTCTTCTTGAAATTTTGCACGCCATAAAACGAATACGTTTAGTGCTGCGACGTCTAATAGCTGTCCAAAAATTGCCATTTGCTGTCTATTACTAATTCGAACTGAATATTAATAATAACACTTAACCCACTTCTAACTACAACGAAATGAAATTACAAAATAGAATGATTGATATACGAGGTTAGCGCCAAAATTTCCCGACCTGACATAGATGTAGCTCCAGTATCACGATCTTCTTTTTAATATATATCTTAGTAGGCTGCGAAAAAAAAATTGAAGTATTGCGTCAAATAGTTTTTTATTGACAGCATTTCAAATGGCATAGTGAGTGATGATTGGTGTCTTACATTCAAGACATGCATGGATTTCCTAAATACTAATTTGTCATTCAAATATTTTGGAATGTTGGAATTTATTACACGTTTCAAACAGCATACAAAGTTGTATTTGAAAACATCTTTGATTTTTAACCAATTCAATCTTTTGAGGGCGGCGGATATGTGGTCGAACTTGCATAGGTTGAAAATAAAGCGACATCAAGTATTTTGGACTTTTTGTAGACGATAAGATGTAACAGCGTCTAAACAGGGGTAATACACAATGTTACAATAAGACAAGCGAGAGAGGATAAGACTTTAACACAACTGTAGTTTCATATCGGAGGGCAATATATCTCTATTTGAATATTACAATTTAAACTCATATAACATTGTTTGGAGATGTGCTTAACATGATTCAAGAATTTCATATTCTCTTATTTACGCTGTTCACTGATTCCTCGCAACGGTCGCGTTCGAAACTATGCACCAATTGCGTATCATCGGCAAAAAACTGTGCTTGGCACTGTGCAACTACACCACCCAAATCTGCTGTATAAATCAAAACCAATAATGGACCTAATACTGAACCCTGTGGTACCCCTGATATCTAGAGCAGTAGTCCTGCAACAGAACTTTTTGACGCCTGTTATAAGCTTAACGTTTTGTCATCAAATCCCATATACCGACACTTGGCAATCAATGTTCTTTTACCATTTTATCGGTTATTATAATGAAGTATTATGTCAGGCTTGTACTTCATATGTTCTCCAATCACGATGCTCCGTAGACAACGTAAGGGCAGCGTTAGTCTTGCTAGGCACATAGGACACGATTGTATTTTGTTTCCAAAAACCAAACGCTGACGAGAAAACGGGTTTATAAGATTTTGGCAAGAGTTGTTCAGGAATATAAGATTTATTTTCTCGTAATGTTCCGCAAAGAGTCATTTGTTTCTCTAATAATTTATCCGCTAGGGACAAACTTGTAGAGAAATTATCTGTGGTCATATCCGGTTCCTAGATCTCCGACAGGATTTAAGACGACTCTTTCGCCTTAATTCTTTTCTGCTGTATTATTAATTTTTCCCAAGTACGGTTGCATATTTATCTGGTTTAATAATAATGTTTATTTCCATTGACTTGTAACAAAAGTATTGGATAATGGTAACAAGTAAAAAAAGAATTAAAAAAACTTTAAAAACAGATACGTACAAAGACACAGCGTATATCACACTGAGAGATCAGCATTACTACAATCGAAGTATTCGTCGATAGAATAATTTTAATTTTTAATTTTTGCGTAAATAAATGGACGGGCAACGTCTGTCTGACGGACAAAGGCAACTTATTATTGGTAAAATCATGGGGTTGTTGGCTACTTTGGCTAACTTATGAATTGGCACCTGCACATCAAGATTATGCTATCTAATATAAAGAGAGAGGGGAAACGTTAAAATATTTAATTTTTTGAACAGGGTTCTACATATATTGGCCATTCTGGTCCAACACCTTTTGCCATCTTTCTGACAGTAACATAATTCCCCTCTCATAAAAGTTTTGGTCCTTGCTGGCAAAAAACTGGTTCAGGTGGTTTTTGACATCTTCATTTGAGGTAAAGGTTTTGCCATCCAAAAAATTTTGCAGGGACCGGAACAAATGGTAGTCGGAAGGCGCCAGATCTGGAGAATATGGTGGATGTTGCGGTACGTCCCATTCAAGCTGTAAAAGTTTTTGGCGAGTGACCAAACTTGTGTGAGGTCTCGCATTATCCTGGTGGAACACTACGCCCTTCCTGTTGATTAATTCGGGCCTCTTCTCTTTAAGTGAATCATTCAATTTGTCCAGTTGATGACAATAGACTTCTGAATTAATCGTTGTATTGTCCGGCAAAAGCTCAAAAAAAACGATTCCTTTGACATCCCACCAAACGGAGAGCATCACCTTTTTTTTGGTGAATGTTGGCTTTTGACACGCTTTGAGCCGGTTCATCTTTTCCGCTCCATGACCTCTTGCGTTTAACATTGTTGTATACAACCCATTTTTCGTCCGCTTCAAAAAAGGATCATTTTCTTGACGTTTGAGGAGCGAATCACACACGTCAACGCGACGACACAAATTTCGCTCCGTAAGGACATGGGGCACCCACACATCGAGCTTCGAGGTTAAGCCCATGCCTTTCAAATGACCGTAAACAGTCGAATTCGACAAATTTAATCTCTCACCGATCTCTCGTGTGGTGATTCGCCGATTTGCATCAACTAATGCCTTTATCGCATCTTTGTCAGCTTCGACCGGCCTTCCAGACCGTGGTGCATCTTCGACATCAAAATTGCCGGATCGAAATTTTGCAAACCAGTTCTGGCACTGGCGTACTGTTAACACGCCTTCTCCATACACATCCGTCAATTTTTTTCTCGCTTGGACAGCATTTTTACCTTTTCTGAAGTAAAAAAGTAAAATATGACGAAAATGCTGCCTATTGCTCTTGCAATATCAGCTCTCAAGACATATAATGGTTATGCGGCTTAAGTGTGAAGTTGGTTTCGAAAAAACGTAATTAAGTCCTCTGACGGGAAAAAACGAAATGACTGCGAACAACCTTATACAATAGTAAACGCTGAAGATCCACACTCGACCGCAGCCGCCAAATAACAAAAGTATGCATAGCCACTAATAGGTAGTCAATTTGGCCTGTCCAGGACAAATTACTGTCTATGAACAAACCCAAATACTTGACAACGTTAGTTTGATAAATCGATTTATCCTGCATTCTAACCAATAAGTTCTTGTTCAAATCCCTTAGCGAAAACAACATCATCTCAGTCTTTACCTCGTTCAAACAAATACCGTTACACTCACAATATCGGGTCATACCACTTACTGCCCTAGTGGCCAAGAACGTGAGTTCTTCCATACTCCTAGATGGCACTGCCACAGCAGTATCATCTGCATATAAGTGAACATAATTGTTAGAGAAAGTCCATTTGGAATTAAATAATCTTTAGAGCCAGTATGCAAAACAGTTATTCTTTTACCTCTTTTTGATGGCGCGTTTGTTTTGCACTTATCAATTGAGTCAACCCAACTCTTTCCCGGGGTATCATAAGTGTCGAACCAGGTTTCATCCAAATAAATAATTGGCCTTTGTTGTTCTCTGTATATCCTAATTTTTTCTAGATATCCCAGTCGCCATTTCCGAATTCTAGGAGATTCCATTAAAACTTGCTTTTTGTAAATTTTTTTAAATCTAAAACCCATGTATTGAATACACTTCCATAAGGTAGTTCTGCCACATTTAGTTGATGTTGGAATTTTCGTCAATGTGGTCGTTTCTTCTAAAGATGCTTGCTTGCTGGCACCACGTTCAATGAGAGTCAAATAAACATTGTTTATAACTTAGTCTCAATAGAATGGTGTTTTCTACATTTGGGGGGAGAGCATCTCCTGATATACACTAGACTCGCACATATTTTGCATAATTCGCACACGATTCAACACACGCTGTATTACACACGAAATAAGAATGATTACTAATAAACTTAAACTAAGTAGTATACCAAACCGGAGAATATTAAACACAGGTAGGTATAAAATTTTGAATTTAAATTTCCAAACTTTAATGTTAATGTTAATGACCACCCTTGGATAATCCCATTCAAAAGCAATTGGTCACTTTCTTATATCTACGAACAGACCATACCTATGGTGGTCCCCTAGGACCTACCGTTACCGAGATATAAGTTTCATTGCCAAGCGAGTATATTTTCGAAAAAATCGATTTCATCGATTTTTCGAAAGTATATCATTATTACTAGAAACTTAGACTACAAGATAAGTGCGTTAAGATATTATTGGGTGTATCGGGTGCGGTTCGGATTTTTCAAAACGGCGACGGCAGTGGAGACGAGGCGACTATCTTCAAAACTCGCGGTTGATAAGCGGTCCTAATTTCGAAAGCTCGTACCTAAACGCGACGCGAACTGTCGGTTTACGGGGCCCCCATAAATCACTTTATCTTATTGCCGTGAAGGCAATAAAACGACGCAAATATGGGCGAGAGTCGTCATTTTCGAGAAAACGCGTATATCTCTCGCCTTGTTTGTACACACCGGGTGTTCGTCGGAACGGAGGCGCGTGTATGGTCTGTTCATAGATATAAGAAAGTGACCAATTGCTTTTGAACGGATTATCCAAGGGCGGTCATTAACATACAATGCAACAAGATTATTATTATTAATGAAGGTAATTATTAATTATTTATTAAGGTAATAATCAATAATCAATAATAAACAATTGGTCACTTTCTTATATCTATGAACAGATCATGCAATCCCTGTATCCCGAATCCCTACATTTTCTTAGTGTTTTTTTCTTCCCTAGATCACAAAATTTTCTGGAAGAAGGTTTCAACTTTAACTTACAGTACTCGTACATTAACCAGAATATATTTCAAAAATCAACAATCAACAAATCAAAAATCAACAATTTCACCCTAACTCGGAAACATGTTAACCCATTGGTGAAACAAGATTTTGAATTTAATGGACAGATTTACATCTTTAAGGAAGGTTTGATTATGGGAAACCCACTTAGTCCTTCGTTAGCCGAGATATTTATGGATAATTGCACTGAACAACGGCTACAATTCGTCCATTATCGATAAAATTATAAATAAAAAACAAATCCAGACAACAGTAAACTCTATTTATCCGAAACCTAATACAGAACACGAACAATTTTAAACAATTACATACAAAGGAGAACCCAGTGAAAAAATTTCAAAATATTTGTCAAAATGTGGTTTAAAAATAGCTTTCAGAACTAACAACACTATAGGAAAATTTTTAAAAATCAATAATCTTAATAATCTTAATCAATGATTAATAATTAATTAATTAATAATTACCTTCATTAATAATAATAATCTTGTTGCAATGTATCTATGTTAACGATCACTCTTGGATAATCCGTTGAAAAGAATCGATCACTTTCTTATATCTATGAACAGACCATACCAGAGAGAGAAGAGAGAGAATATAGTAAGAATGATGAGACGTGATATTTTCAAAGTGTTTAATGATTTATGACACTGTTTTGGCAACATCGCGCCTTTATCGAATACGAAACATGACGATATTTGATAAAACCCACTAAAGAGCAGATTTTACAATAGATTTATCAATTCGATAAATACTACATTCTGCGAGAAAGAGTCCGAATTGCTAAAAATGGGTTTCAACTTTAATTGAAATTACTGAAACACCAATAAAGAGTGGATTTTTTTAAATAAATTTAATTAAATCTGAATTTAAAACTAGCTGTATATTGTTGTCTATGATAATAATCAAAATAAGGCTTCCCGAAATAATATAGTATTTATAAGAGCAGATAAAGCAAAGTTAGTCATTACTATCGATTCGCTTCTTTAACCGGTATCGAAAATTATATTTTTTAATTAAATTTTAACAACCAGGATACGCCAACAGCGCCATCGGTTAAATTCTCAACAAGATTAATAAAAATTTTAGAACATCATACGAGCTTATGTATGTTATCAAAAGTTCATTCAAACTAAGCAAATTCCAGTTTTATTTGACGTCCAAAACTTATTTCCTAGCATTCCCCCAAGATATTTAGAGACAAGTCAACCGTGTCATAAAAAAGACTTGCTAGGTAGTTTAATAATTTGTTTAGACCAAAATTTAGACAATATCTCACAGAAACCGAAGTTTTTAACATTCCTCCACAAAGTTGGGCAAATTCTGTTAAATATATAGAAAAGGCAGAACAATCGTATATCTATATTGCAAATATAAAACACTCGTTCGGCCGTATTTCATTCTTACAGCTTGCCCGGGTCGTTCCTTAATTCGTATCAGTTCGTCACTTTCTTATATCTATGAACAGACTTTACCAATGATGTACGTTTAATTTCGATCGGTCTGTGTATATAAACGCAAAGGTCTACCGCCAAAGCCCGGAAAACGCCATTTTGAAGATCCCCCGCGATTCCGATTCACTCGAGCGCGTCTCCGCCGGATCCCTTAATTAGACGAGGGTGGGGGCGGCGGGGGCGGTATCGGGGGGCGGACTTAGCGGAGGCAAAGCTCTCGAGGCGCCGCGATCCGCACTAAATCTGGCCGAAGCCCGTTTTAAGCCGTCCGCCTTTTTTACCGGAATTAACCGGCCTTTGTCGCGGCCTCCTCCGGATCCGAGTGATTTCCCGGAATTCCGGGCGCTGTTTTAGAGTTCCCCGACGATCTCGGTCGAAACTGGCGCGATCTGTATAAATTCACTGTAACGGGTTCAATTTGTCATTGGCTACTTCGACTTATGTTTCTCACATGTAGGTTAATAATGCTCGGAGACTACCTATTAAATGTTTTATTCTCACAATTATACACTGTCTTAATCCTCAAAACTACTGCAACCCAAGATTTCGTCAAATCTTCAAGTTAGCTCGATACAGGACGTTGCATATTCTCTCGTCCAAGAGTGATAAGCTGATAAGCATTCGTGCCTATGCCACTGACTGGTGAACCCGTAGGCAGTATACAGAACAGCCATCTTAGAGCTTGCCCGACTCGTTCGTTGCTGGTAACTGGAGGATCACAGATAAGCCCCTATTTACGATCCGGTTAATTTTATGCCTATTAAATACAACTTTCAATTTTTCAATATCAATATAAATTAAACAGCTCAGTTAGGGTAAAGATAAAGTACACAATTATAGAAACATTTTTATACAGGAATGTGGAGCAAAATTTGAGATGAGGCGCCGCAATGCTGTTATATAAAAGGTATTTGGTGTACATGGAAAGACTATGGCCTATTCTGCATATAAATCATAAAATTTTCTCATTACATGACCAGCATGCGGTCGTAGCGTTAGTTCTGACTCCGAGGTACTTAATTTTATTTTCGTCTACTAGAATGTCATTATTTATTTCAATTTAAATGTTTTCTTAATTAACAATTTTTGTTGTTTCCCAAAAATACAAAATTTAGACTTTGACGTTTTACTATTAAGTTTGTGTTTACATAACCATTCATATAATTTCGAAAGTCCAAGAACACAGCCAACATAGGATTATTACTATCAACACCTTTGAGGAAATTGTCACACATATTAATTATCACAGACTCACCCGAATGTTGATGACGGAAACCAGACTGATTGGATACTAATAAGTCATTATTATCGCAGAATGCAATATTTTTTCATAAACCAACTTTGTCGAAATTGGATAGGCCAAAAAAAAAGACACGGTGTTGTCGAAACAATTGTCATGTCAAAATATGTAATTTCGCGAAAATCTGCACTTTTAGTTCTTATTTATATTGATAAATGGATTTTCATCGACTAAAAGCCTCCTCAGTTCAATTTTCAAAAAAAAAGTTATTCAACTTTTTCTAATTTTTTTTTCTGGACCCCCCCACCCCGCCACAAAAAAACCCGTTATTTCTATTTTACGGTAGCGGTTGCGCCCCCTAGCGGCTATTTCATGAACTTGAAAATATTTTCCAGCTTTTTACCTTTGGCGATTTTCCTATAAATATATTGTACGACTAATGGGCCACCCGATACAGGGTGTTTAAAAAGTCCTCGGCTCGTCGCCCCGTACAAAATCCAGTTACGTCTTTATACCCGTCGTCCCAAATTCGGCCGCCCCGCGTCCTGTTCGATTCGGATCAGGTTTAAATTTAAAACGCGATCGGATTAACGTAATTGCTCGAAAACACGCAATTACACGTGTTCCGTACTCGAGATTAAGCGCGAGGTGACGTCATCGCCGATTTCTATATCGCTCGCCGAAAATATCCCTCGAAAACGGATAAGGAAACGAGAGAAAACGATATCGCCGCCTTGATAAACGGTTTATCTCGGCTTATATCCAGTTGCTTAACCTTTAAATCCGTAAATAAAGTGTCGCGAGTGTAGCATTTGTTTCGTCGAAAGTGAAATCTAGTGCCCGATGATTACGTCCGAAACGTCGTCCAGGTAAAGCGTTCAGTCTCCCGCAGGTCCGCATCGAATGGGTCCTCTCTGCGCTGTATTTTACAAAACCTTTATAATTACAATGAAAACTCCCTATTGCAAAACTCGTAAAATGTAAGACTCTGTATTACGAACAAAATTTGTTGTACTCTTAGGTCTCCATACAAAGCAATGTATTAATCCACTCTGTATGAGGAATCGAACCGAAAGAAAAAAGGGCACATGAGGTAACAGAGTAAGGAATGTAGGCCGACTTGTAATTAATAGAGTCTCTTACCTTCTCAGAATTCTCAGAATTCCTTACCCTAATAATCTAATTGCCAAGAACCTGGTCGTCCTAAGTGTTGGTTGTAAAACCACTATATTTATGGTTATAGTATACTACGGTGGCTCGTGACAATCGTTGATACGCACATGTCCATTATTTGTCCAAATTGAGCATGGTTCCTTGTTTGATCAAGAAATACTACTTACAGATGAAGCAAACTTTTCCAGAAATGCAATCAGAAATTACCACAATAACCCTTTTTCCTGCCAGAGAGGCTAAATGCCCCTAATTATCGCCGGATTTTAGAAGAGGATTCGTCAATATTGCTAAAAGAAGTACCATATTAGCAACAGAGCTAAGGGGTGTATCCTTTAAGATGGAGGACACTTTCAATGTTCTATGTTTTTTGAAAAATGTTGTAATTAATTTATTAACAGCCAATTTTGTTTAAAATTATTAAAATACGAAAAGTTTATTATTTATTTTGTTGTTAGGATGTTTTTTTTTTGTGAAGGCCAGTGCTGGTAACTAAATACTAGATAGGTAACCAATGCTTTGGCACTAAGATCTTATGTGGTCATATACAGTCGCTGTTATGTTATTTCAATTAAAACTGTAAAAATAAGAACAGTTTTCTAATTGTTTTTTATAAAGTACACTAGCTGCTAAAATCGTCATCTTCGGCCACCTGGGGCTTCAACGTTCCTCTTGTTCCAGGTCCCTTCTGATGGAAGCGACGACCGCGTGAGCGTCCCCCCTCCCCCGACACGGTGAACACGTTCAACTTTTGCCTCGGTTTACCGATGGATCGGATAGAGTCCCTGTCGGACCCGGCGCTCTGCCTCCAGGACCTGGTGACGGGCGTGACGACTTCTTCGGCGAGCGCCGACCTCCACGGCGTCCACCACCTCCACGACTCGGTTAGCTCGGCGGTGTCGGTCAGTTCCGCGATCTCGGGCATCATGAGCGGCGCCACCTCGGTCCTGGGGCACCACCACGTCACCACCCACGAAGCCGCTCACCACCACCACGGAGTTCACGCGTCTCCGTTGCACCACGAGCCCCTGGAGAAGCTGAAACGTGGTGAGTCAGTTCCGATTCGTTCCGTTTGTGGCTTTTGCCACGTGCGGTTATAGGGGATGGTGGGGCAAGAAGATCCACCTCAAAAATTAACTGGTTATTTGAACATTTTTATCCCTTCGCGTACCAGGGGTATAATGGGCCCCTTAAAAAAATTATAATCGAATCATAATTTATTTATTTATTTATAAACAAGTCTTTCCTACACACAGACGCAGCTGTCCAATAAAACGAAACCACAAAATATCACAATCTAATTAATAACTTATTACGACTTTTTATTACGTTAGTAGTACGTTAACTGGTATGCCGTCTTAAGTGTCGTTTAAAGCCTTCAAAGCTCAGAGCAGATAGATCCAGATCCGGAAACACGTTCTCTAACTTGTTACTGGTTGTTACGAAAAATCGAATATATCGGCAACGGTAGGTCCTAGGGGACCGCCATTGGTACAGAAATGATCAGCGTAAAAAAAACCTTTTTTTTCTGTTCTCCGTTCTCCGGTTCTCTGTAAATCTGGCATTAATTGGCGAAGCTCTTTCTTTTTAAAATAAAAAGCTGCTTCGCGCTACGAGCCACAAACTTGCCCCACCCAGCGACGATTTTTCGAAAGCGAAAACTATGTTTTTTCGAAAAAAATTGATTCGAACTTTATAAAGAAATAGTAAATCAAAATTTGTTCTACGAGATTCCAAAGAAATGAAGGTTTTTAGTATAACTAAAAAAATGTCGCTGTCTATTAAATCTATGATTTGGAGCATTTACAATTTTTCGTTGTACAGGGCGGTCCAAATTCGAGGGACCCCTATTACTGTTACCCTAAAGCTAATATGCGTGTTACTGGCTCGATTTTCGAGAGAAGTCGAACGCTGAAAACCGCATCGCGATATGTCAAGGCGTTTTTGAGCTACAGGGTGATTCTCAACAAAAACCGACGCAGGAGGAATCCAGAAGTTTTGTAAAAAGTATTACAGTAGCCCTTGGAAGTTTCTTTGAAAAAAAAAACAAAACAAAAAAAAACAGTGCAAATAATTATTTATCGCCTGTCAACCTTCGCTTCAAATGAAAACATTGAAGATCACCTTGCTGTTCAAATTTTTAATTTCTTAATATGTTTATGTTTAAACTCATGAGACATCGGCATTAAGATTATTAGTGTAATCCTCGTTCAAAAAACTCAAAATGTGAGACTTTGTTGTGCAGATATAAGATTTTCTTTCTAAAATATGGTAGTTTTTGGATTTACGTACTTCAGAATCGAATTATTAGAAGTAGAAAAAAGATTTTAAATACACTTTTCCATATAGGTTATCTCTTGTTTGTAAATAACGTAATCTATAGAGAAACTCATTGTTATCTTCAGTTTCTCAATAATGTAATCTAGTCTAATATTCTAACTTACATAAGATTCATTAATCAAAGTGTTTACTTACCTTTAAATATTTTTATGTATGTATGTACGAGGTGTGTTCAAAAAGTAAGGTGATTTTTGTAATTGGGTGGGCATCATTCTTTTTTTCTATTGTTAAAAGCAATTTCGACTTCTGTATTTTTTTGCCGACTTTATATTCAAAACTGACGGTTATAATTATTTTCGTGTAATGTACCAACATTTATTTAGTATAAATTGACTATGTATTTTTTAAAATTAATGTTATTTTGGTTTGTAAAAGCAACTACTTTAAAGTTCCCAGAAAATAGCACAAATGCGCAAATAGCACAATCGAAACCTTCTTCATCTTCTTTTTTTCCCCATTGTAAAGTTCTTCTATGTAGGCTGTTAATTAAAATAGCCAATTAAAACTAACGTTTTTTTTTTCAGAATATAAATATTAGGTTTAATAAAAAAAATAACAATGCAGTTTTATTATTGTTTTTTAGATAGAAAAAAATCAGAGTGCGCCACTGAATCGTGCGAAGAAAACCCATAACAGATCAACTTTAAAAATGTTTATTATTTTTAAAAATGCCAGTCGAAACTTATTGATGTTTAATGGAATTTTTCCCATTTTAATGACAAGAAAACATGGCGATTTGAATTAAATATTAAATTAAATAAATTAAAATCGATATGAAAGCTTTTTCGAATTTAAGTTGCTTTTAATTTGTCGGAAACCACATTTAATCCCTCTCTGTCCATTTTATTTTAATTTAATCATTAATTAAATAAACTTAATTATTTAATCTAAATTTTAATTTATTTATATAATAATTTAATCAATAAATTAATTTAATTTTTATTTAATTTAAATTTAATAGACTTTATAGATGGTAATGGCGATTTGAACTAAATATTAAATTAAATAAATGAAAGTTGATAGATATGCTTTTTCGAATTTAAGTTGCTTTTTATTTGTCGGAATCCACATTTAAACCCTTGCTGTGCTTATTTTAATTTAATTATTAAGGTAATTTAATTTAATTATTAATTAAATTAAACTTAATTATTTAATTTAAATTTAAATTTATTTATGTAATGATATAATGAATCATTAATTTAATTTTAATTTAATTTAAAATTAATAGACTTTATAGATGGTAATGTTAAATTAATATTATATTAATATTAAATTAAATAAATTAAAGTCGATATAAATTCTTTTTCGAATTTAAGTTGCTTTTCATTTGTCGGGAACTACATTTAAGCCCTCTCTGTGCGTTTTATTTGAATGTAATTATTAATTAAATTTAATTTAATTATTAAGCGAGTTTAATTTAATTATTAATTAAATTAAACTTAATTATTTATTTAAATTTAAATTTATCTATGTAATAATTTAATCAATCAATTAATTTAATTTTTATTTAATTTTAAAAAAATCTTATATCTCCCCATGCATCTTCTGTCACCAATAAATCGAGCAGCGACGCATTTTTCAAGTCGACAATAAAAAATAAATTTTACAACGCGTACGGCGGCCCCCAAATGAAAAATTTATGGATTCTAATTGAAGATAAAATTTTTATCAATTAGGGGATTATATTTTATCAGGAGATAAAATTTATTGCCCCGGCCTCAGCGCTCCCTTACGGCCGATATTTTTACGACGGCTAATTTCCGTCGAGATCGTTTTTTTTTTCGCCACGTTTATCGTCACCGATCGGTTAATTTCTGCACCGTCATGGCGGGTCATTAAAGGTAATTTTATGACTGTTGACGAAAACCCAAAAATTGATATTACAAAGTTCTATGGAAAAACTTAAAAGTTCTTCTCCCTGAAAAGAATACAACGATCCCCGCTGAAATATTGTTTGGCGTGGAGACAGTTTCAGACGAAATGGAAATCACCAATAAATTTAATGAAAACTTTGTAAATAGTTTTGCAGAGATTGTATCTAGTATCTCACAATTCCTAGCAATTCCTCACAATATTGATATAATGCATTTAATTTTCGTAAAACTCAAACACTAAGTGCAGAACGATGTGAAAGGAGGATGCAGTTTTGTTTGTTTGTGTAGCTACGAAACCAGCAACATTGCGAATAGTATTTTTTATTTATTATTCATTATTTTGTACGCGGCCGACGACGCTATCGCGTAGAAAATTTGTTTCCCCCTTTCTGGCTCCCCACCCCTCCTCTCTGATAATATAAACGTCGATCAAACTGTAATATCGGGTAGATTTTCAAATTAATTCCGCTGACTGGACGCCAATTCCTTTTTAAAAACACAATTCCGGCTGGATTACGATCGGATACGTGTCGGGGAATTGCCCCAAAACGACCGAGAAAAAAAAAACGCGTGCCATCTGGATGATGGGGGTGGGGGGTGTTTTTTCGCGCTCAGGAATAAGACCTTTGCGAAATGTACGGGGCGTTTATTAATCGGGTGTCGGTAATTGATTACGTGCTGGAATTTTTGACGGCGACGTTGCCGCTTCTTCGAAAAAGTAGCATCAACATCGAAATTTTCAATGGGACACCATGTATATGTCAGAAACGAAACGAAATGAAATTTTTGTATCTCGTAGGAAAATAGTTAGTTTCCTGAACACATTTCTCATACGTTGTACTTGTATGATGTTTCGCATTTAGTGAAGTTTCCGGATTGTCTCTTAACTGATCGATTGCCTCTGAAATCCATTGCCGAAGTTCCGCAACATTATTGCAAGGAGTTCTGTGCACGTGATGTTTTATGTGTGCCCAAAAAAAATCCATTAAAGTTAAGTCAGGACTGTTGGCTGGCCAATGATTAGTTCCGCTGTTCCCTATCCAACCTCTGGGATATTCGATGTTAACAAAATGGTTTTTATTTCGTGTATTTGTCTATTATTATTTAAAGACCAATATCGCGTAGTGAACGAACTTCCATCAATCCAAATCGCATCCTCCTTTGACATTGTTCTGCACTTAGTTTTTGAGTTTTACGAAATTGAAATGCACTACATTTATATTCTTTCAGAACTGAGTGAATTGATCCCCTTTATATACTCTAGTTATACAGGAAACTGCATGTGCTTCATAGAACCCAAATATGTTTGCCTTATTTTCTTCATTTTAAACATTATGATTCCGGCATACCTTTTTAGGATTTGATACGTTACCGTTTTCTGCAAATTTCTTTGCCAGCCTTGTTTCAAATAATAATAATAAAAAAAATAAATAAATATCAATTTGAATTTTTTTAATATGCCAATACGCCAATGCGTACTTTGGCTTGTATTTTAACCATTTCTTCGAGAGGGCCATCTTCCCCATGATACATAAAAAATTTCAACAAAAATAGTATCTCCTGATTGGCTAACTTGCCTTTAATTATTTTTTTCTAGGAAACAAATAATAAATAAAAAGTTTTAATTATTGTCCTAATGTTTTGCTCTTAACTTATTATAATAATAAAACTTACCTTTTAACAATGAAAATATACAAATATTTTTCCCATCTTTTCGTATCTCGTGGACCTCAAAAAAGTGAACTTTATTTTTCCCATCCCCAATGTCCCCGTCCTTACCTTTTATAATATATATTTCGTGTTTTTGAATTAGCGCAGTTGATTATAAAA